TTAAATGTCCCCCAGGCCTTTTTTGAAAATATCTTGCCTATTAGCCATTACAATGGCTATAATTTAGTATCAAGTATTCATCCCATAGACTAAAATCAGGTCAAGATTTGCCCCCATAAACAGCTTTCTCTCAGATTTCAAGCACGAGTTAACTAACTCCCCATAAATCAAACCCGGGCAGATTTGCTCATCCCCACAGGGTTATTCACAAAAGGGGTGAAGAGTTTGGAGAAGGCCGGAGGAGTGAACAATCTAGGACAAAATAGCTGATTTGGACAAAATTCTCCAATTCAGCTCACTTTCCAGTTCAGCTTTATTGTCCTAGATTGTTCACTTCTCCTGCCTTCCCCAAACTCTTCACCCTTTTGTGTATAGCCCTGCCAGTGTCTACAGGTGCCTCACTGACATAAGATCAGGTGACAATCATCCTGTGTTCATGGGAACCTTTAACACTACATGCACATGGCCGTATGAAATTTACTGATCATATGCATATGTTTTTTTTGGCCAAAAAGTTCTGGCATTAATTATCAGTAAAACGCTTGTGTTTAGATGTGTTTAAACATGTAAACAAGTATGCATGCAAATGTGTAAAGTTTGTAATGTAATTTCTTTGTGTGGACTTCATTTACATGCATAAAATCTGCCACAGGCGGTGATTTCAGCAAATAATGTGGAATTGTTCAAGAGACTTTTGGACGATTTCTTAAGGGACCGTAATATACAGGGGTACAGGTACTCCTAGAATGAGATCATGCTCAGCATGTTCGGCCGACCCGAAGTGCAGAAGGAGTTCGACTCAGCCGATCCAACATCTGGATCGGCTGAGCCGAACTTCCGGCAGTCTAATCGCTGCTGTTCGGCCTATTCTCATACATGCCAAACAGCAGTGAGTGAATAGCCGATCGGCTCGGCTGTTCTGCTCGGTACCTCTGTGGTACTTTCTAGGGGGAAAAAAAATCACTTCTACCTTTGATGTGACTGCTATGAAGTTCTTGACTCTTTCAACAGATTACAATCAACAGAATAAAATCGCCCATGTAGTTTAGCCTTTATTGGCAACCACTACTAAAGCAAAAAATGTTATCGCCATTACTGCTACAATATTACTACAAACAACGAAAATAAATAAATCATGAAATACTAATAAAAAACAATCAAAAATAATCTGATAACCATTCTAATTAATGCTGTTATTATTATTGTTGTTGTTTTGATATTACGCATTGTTTTTGTTGATAGAAATAATAATAATTATTATTATTTTTATTATTATGTCGATGTTATGTAGTGTTCATGATGATGATAATTATTATTATTCTCATCATTATTCATTATTATTATTATTATTATTATTATCATCAAGAACACTACATAATTTCGAAATAAAAATAATCATAATGATGATAATAGTAATATTTATTATCTAGAAAAGTTAATAATAACATAATAATGACAAAATAATTAACTACAAAAAAAATACACAACAAAAATAAAACTTAAGAAACAAAATAGACAAATTAAACATTTTCATTTCTCTGGACACAGCGAGCTTGTTGATGGTGGAAATCCTCAGCACTCTTCCTTTCAGCATTCTTTCAGCAATCCCTCTTGACCTGGGAACCTCCTTTTGCCTGTCTAGCCTGAGGAAAAAAGAATTGTTTTCCTCGCCTGTCTGCTGATCCAATTAAGAATGGAGACAATTACTTCTAATAATGTGCTAATTTTGTTTTCACAAAAGCAAGAGGGCTGAGGTGCTACCATCACTCAGCACGGGGGAAGGGGACGCTTGTCTGCTATAGAAGCCTTCATAGAACAAGTCTTGGAAGAAGTAAAGAAACTCGGGCTCAGTTTTCTGAGATGTTCTCCCACTTTGTATTGTGTTTCCGGGAATTTTCTGGAAATGGACACAAACCACTAGAACAGCACCCAGCTAAATTCACATTACTGTCTGCAGTCTCCCCAGCACAGACTCCTAGACTGCGGTCCACATACCTTTTACATGGCCAGATAATAATGTATGGACAACAACTTAAGGGGATCGATTAATGTAGATTTACTTCTGCATCATCAACATGTCTTCACTGTTGTAATTAAGGTTGGCATTAATGACAGCAGAACTCTCTCTCTCTCTCTCTCTCTCTCCTGGGACGAGGTCTGTGTGCTGCAAGATGCCTGGCCTAGGCCTCAGCATGTGGCAGGTGCTGGGGGCCCAGAGGCCTAAGATGTTACTGAGAAAAATAGAGATATATTTCTTTAGCATTTAAAAATATCAAAAGTATTTTAATCATTCAAAGAAAAAAGTATAGTTCTATGAAATAGTTTTATATATATATATATCATTTTATGTATTATTTTATTATTCATTTTATTTATTAATTATATTCATTTATTTTAAGTATTTTAATCACACAAAGAAAAAAGTATAGTTCTATGAAATTGTTCTTTATATATATATATATCATAATTTCATAGGACTCTTCTTTTATTATTATTATTCTCTGTCAATAAAATGCAGTGGAATTCGACGCATTTTAGTGCGCTAGATACAATAGTAAATTGCCCATTGACTCGGGAGATTCTAGTTTGGTTTTGCACATAAAAAAACATATGCTTATCCTTATAAAATCCCGTGTAAATAAGCTGATGATAGGAGGTTGAGTCCTTGATGTCTATATGGGCACAAGGACCGGTACCGGCTCAGTGTAGGATCAGCTCTGTGACTGCGGGCAATGGGCAACAAGCGATATGTAAATAAATACCATGATGATGATCACACCGCTGAATTAAATATAGACGATCAGACAAGTGGCAGCTAACGTGTAATTTGACTGTGATTATGTGAAAAGTATGAGTGGGAAAATACAAGCAAGAGGTCAATAGTTTGATGAGAGGGTTTGATGAATTGCATGCACCTGCCTGTAGTGAAGGTGTGACATTTCAGTAATTAGCTAACACATTCTCCTGTCTAAGTAAATTATGGCACCATAGTCAGTAGACTGAGAACAGGCGGGGATAGAGTGCAGACCTAGAAGAACATGTACCTCACCCTGCACTGCAATTTCATCAGAGAGTGCATTTTACTTTATGTGAGAGGGAGAAGTATAGGGCATCTCTTATTATCTAGCTGATCTATCTGATCTAATTGTGTCTCTCTTCCCTTAATATATTATCTATCCATCTATCTATCTATCTAATATCTTATCTAATAATCATCTCTCTCTCTCTCTCTCTCTCTCTCTCTCTCTCTCTCTCTCTCTCAT